GTCCAGGTGGAGGAGTTCCAAGCGTCGGTGACACAGCAGTCCCGACCAGTTCGACAAGCGTCGCCGTCGTCGTCGTCGTCGTCGTCGTCGTCGTCGTCGTTCTCGGCGTTGGCCTGGCGTCACTTTCTGGGCCCTTCCACTCATTCCCCTGCCTCCCGTCAGAAATAGCGTGCCCGTCCTCCGCTTCGTCCTTCCCAGCCCCCTGCCCTTCTTCTCTCCTTCACGCTCCCCCTTCTTCCTCCTGGGTCGTTGCTGCTGGCCGATTGGCCGAGAACGCGACGGGTGCTTCTTGTGTGTGTTCGCCTCCCCGCGGCTCGGTGGCGAGCATCGTCGGCGTAGGCCGTGCACTGGCAACCCCCGTGCATGCATGGGGCTGCCGCTAGTAATGATCTCCAAACCCCCCTGATCGCGAACAGGTAGGATCTCGCCCGCCAAATCGAACCAATGCGGGATTGGCTCGGGAACCAACCCCGCCAGACTTCTCGCGACTCGATACGTTCGCGCCAACTTTTCCACTTTCCTGGCCTCTGATGCCCGTCTCAAGGGCCAAGACGGAGAAATAAGTGCGGGGAAGTGGCCGAACACTCGATGGGGCCGGGAACTCGAGAGAACCGCATCGTCGGGGGTGTGGACCTTGGGTCCGCTGTCTGTATATAGGCTGAAGGAATTCGAATTCAGGGATACCGTCCCAACCGAACCAGCGGATGTCAGACTTCGTCACCGGATCTCTCTCTCTCTCTCTCTCTTTGTGCATGTATATATAATGGCATATATTTACCCATGTGTACACCGATGTATCGAATGTATATATATATATATATGTATTAGAACCGCGCGCGAATTACGCGCGAGCTTAGGTTGTAGTCGCAGATGAACCACGGATGCCGCTGTGAACCCCGCTGTGGCCACACCGTCCATTTCCAGCGTTCTCTTGCACATGCCATCGACGCAAAGAAACGGGTAGTCAGAACGCGGGGCGCCAAGTTCCCGCGTATCTCAAAATTTCGCTGCCGCCTTCGTTTGGTTTATCGAACTGCGCTTTCTTTTCCACTTTCACTTCCGCTCCGCCACACTCAATGTTTTGCACATATGTTCGGCTTCCCCATGCCCGATCGCGCAGACGTCCGCCGGCTCTTGATGTTGGGGTTGGCTCGGGGCCTCGTTGCGCGCGCGCGCGTGGGAGCGCGTTTTTTTTTGTTCCCCTTTCCTTGTGCTCCAAGCTTCTCGTTTTCAGCGGTCGTTCAACTGTCGGGTATCTGCAGAGGGCGCGCGCAGATGTCCTGGTCATCAGTGCCCTTCTTTGCAATCAGTTGTTGTCGAGACCGTCCACGGGGAATGGGGGAGTTTTTGTGCTGGACGCCAAGCCTCGTGCCGGCGATAATTGCACCCGCGGGAGCACAAGGTTCGGGTTCACGGGGGATGCTCAATGATTTGCCTGGCAAGTCCCACGTATGGTGCTGTTGCCTGGAGCTCTGACGGGGCCTCTGGCGGTGCCTTCTTGGAGCTCTGGCGAGGTTTTTTCGGGAGGTGAGGGACGGGCACGAAACTTGATATTTGTAAAAATATAAGTATATATGTATAGCCACACCCCGCTCGCTCGGGCGGGTCCGCCCTGCAAGGGTGGGAGGAACAAGACTCGCGTGAAATAGTACGGTGTAGGGATGCTCTGCTCTCTCTGGCGGGGGTTTCCCTGGCGTTCTGGCGGGGCTTGCCCAGGAGGGGAAGGAGGAGCACAACACCGGAAAAAAAGGTATAGCCACACCCCGTGCGCTCTGACGGGGCTACCTCGGGTGCGGTGGGAGGAGCAAAACAGAACAGGGACTGTGTATGGTATAGCAACATCCCTCTCGCTCTGCCGGGGCCGCCCTTGAGGGGTTGGAAAGCAAAACATGTTGTAAAATGGTAGGCTGGGATGTTAACGCCCCCCCGATCTACCTAAGTTTCACGTCGTAATTTACAACATGCCGTAAATTAAAGCACGGCCCGTAGCTTACGTAACTTCGCGGAGGCGTACGACCGGGCACTTCTACTTGTGTAACCTTTTTGATTGGGAACCGATGATTTGTGCAACCTTTTCGTTTTCTCGGGGCGGGGTCGGTTTCCACGATTGTGCACTCTTTTTGATTCGGAGCATATGAGTTGTGCAGCGTTTTTGATTGGGAACCGATGAGTTGTGCAACCTTCTTCGTTTTCTCGGGTTGGGCTCGGATTCCGACCTTGTGCGGCCTTTTTAATTGGGAACCGATGGGTTGCGCAACCTTTTTGGTTGGGAACCGATGAGTTGTGCAACCTTTTTCGTTTTCTCGGGTTGGGGTGAGTTTCCGAACTTGTGCGGCCTTTTTAAAGGGGAACCGATGAGTTGTGCAACCTTTGAAATTGGGAACCGACGAGTTGTGCAACCTTTTTCGGTTTCTCGGGTTGGGGTCGGTTTCCGAACGAGTGCAACCTTTTTGATTGGGAACCGCTGAGTTGTGCAACCTTTTTGATTGGGAACCGACGACTTGTGCAACCGTTTTCGTTTTCTCGGGTTGGGGTCGGTTTCCACAACTCATAGAAGGCTGCGCAAGTTCGGAAACCGAACCCAACCCGAGAAAACGAAAAAGGTTGCACAACTCATCGGTTCCCAATCATTTTGGTTGCACAACTAATATGTTCCGAATCAAAAAAGGCTGGACAAGTGCGGAAACCTACCCCAACCCGAGAAGACGAAACAGGTTGCACAACTCATCGATTCCCAATATCATAGGTTGCACAACTCATGGGTTCCCAATCAAAAGGCCGCGCAATCCGTCGGATATCCACCCAAAACGTTGTACAAATTCGACAACCGAGACCTATCCCGACAACCGTGTTGGTGCCCGTGACACGATGGACGGTTGAACTCACTGGCATGTATAAGTTCTCAGTTCTAACGCCTGGAACCTGCACTGCTAGCGATGCCCCGCTCGCTCTGGCGGGGCCTGTCTGGCGCTCTGGCGGGCCGTCCCAGGAGAGGAGGGAGGAGCACGAAAGCTGAGGGGTGGGGGGAGGACGCGGCGAGGAGGGAATGGAGGCAAGGGGAGGGGGCGGGAGGGAAGGAGGGACGGAAGAGGAGGCCCGGGCCATCTGAGCCGTCTTGGAGCGCCCTGGGGCCTCCCGCTGCCGCTCTGTGGCCCAGCTTGGGTCTGTCCTAGGTTCTCTTGGGCCGTCTGGGGGCTCCTCCTGGGCTATTTACGGGCTCCCTTGGGCCGTCGTGGGGCTCTTTTGGGTGCCTCTTCGCGGTCTTGGGGCGGTCTTGGGGGCGTCTGCGGTCGTATTCGAGCATTGGAAGCTCGAGAATGCGAGAAAGCGGAAAACATCGAACAAACCAATGCAACTCAATGATTTGGGCCTCTTTGGGCTCTCTCGGGGCGTCTCTCGGAGCTCTCTTGGGCCCTCTTGGAAGCTTTTTGGCTGTGTGTTTGCCGTCTGGAGCTCTTCTTGGGCCACGTTGGAATCATCTGGGCCGTCTTGAAGCGCCTTGGGGCCTCCCGCTCCCGCTCTGGGGCTCATCTTGTGCCTCTCCTGGGATCCTCTTGGGCAGTCTTGGGCTGCTCTTGGGTGTTCTTCAGAAACCCCCGGGGCCGTCTCCGGGCTCTTTTTGGGGCATCTTCGGCGGTCTTGGGAGGATCTTCGGGGCGTCTTCGGCCGTCTTGGAGCGTTGGAAGCTCGAGAACGCGAGAAATCGAAACACATTTTAAAAACGGCCGGAAATCAAGGATGTGGGCTTCTTCGGGCTCTCTCAGGACGCCTCTCGGACCTCTCTTGGGGCCTATTGGAGGCCTCTTGAGCTGTGTATTGGCTGTGCTGGGCCGGTCTGGGGCACGTTGGGGCCATCTGGGCCGTCTTGTAGCGCCTTGGGGCCTCCCGCTCCCGCTCTGTGGCCCAGCTTGGGCCTGTCTGAGGCTCCTCCTGGGCAATTTTCGGGCTCCCTGGGGACGTCTTGGGGCTCTGTTGGGGGCCTCTTCAGCGGTCTTGGGGCGGTCTTGGGGGCGTCGTCGGCCGTCTTGGAGCGTCGGAAGGTCGAAAACGCGAGAATCCGAAACATATCGAACAACAACTAATGGAAATCGAAGATTTGGGCCTCTTCGGGCTCTCCCGGGACGCCTCTCGGAGCTCTCTTGAGCCCTCTTGGAGGCTTCTTGGGCTGTGTCTTTGTGGTCTGGAGCCCATCATGGGCTGTCTGGGCTCTGGGGGCTCCACGGCCCCTCCGGGGTGCTCTGGGAGCTGTCTCGGAGGCCCTGGTCCCCCCATGCGCGCTCGGGGCCCGGGCCCCGGGCGCCCGGGCCTCGTGCGCGGGTATATATATATATATATATATATATATATATATATATATATATATTAGTAACACACACATACATATATATTATATATATATATATATATATATATATATATATATATATGCACATACACATCTATACGTGTGTGTGTATATGTATGTATGTATGTATGTATGCATGCATGCATGCATGCATGCATGCATGCATGTATGTATGTGTGTGTATGCATGTATGTATGTATGTATGTATGTATGCATGCATGCATGCATGCATGCATGCATGTATGTGTGTATATATGAATGTATGACTGTATGAATGTACGAATGCATGCATTGTATGAATATGTAGATGTAGATGTACATGTAGATGTTTATGTATAAGTACATGTACATGTACATGTATATATATATGTATGTATATGTATATGTATAGGTATATGTGTATGTGTATGTGTATGTGTACGTGTATGTGTATGCGTATGTATGTATGTATGTATGTATGTATGTATGTATGTATGGATGTATGTATGTATGTATGTATGTATGTGTGTGTGTGTATGTATGTATGTATGTATGCATGCATGCATGCATGTATGTATGTATGTATGTATGTGTGTATGTATGTATGTATATAAAGATATACTCATACATCTATCTATATTCGACGCTGTTTTCTGTGGGGTGGGGCGGCGGGCGCCTTCTGGTCGGTGCGGAGCTGCTCCTCCGTGCTCTGCTTTCTGTCCCGCTTGTGGGACAGCTCCGTCTCTTTCACCTGGCCGGCGCCGCCCTCGGGCCCTGCCTTCTGCTCCTCTGCCCTCCTCCTTCTCCTCCAACGCTCCCCCCCCGCCAATCCGCCACACGCCTTGCTGTCTGGGGTCCGCACAGTGAGCAGCGATCCCTCGGTCTCGGGCCCAGGATGGACACAGCGGCCTCCCAGAAACCTCGCTCGCCGACCTGGCAGGGCTCAACTGCAAATCTCGATAATCATGGCCGCTGGACTTGTAACCGCATCGACATCGAACAACTCACCCACTTGTGGTATACAGTCTGGACTTTCTGTCGCGTGTCGTCCACGCATGGTTGTGAGTTCAGTCCGCAGATTCAAAATGCATCTCACGAATGTTCAAACTACCCCCAAAAACTACCCAATGCGACTCTGAGTGATGGACCTATCAACCAACCTCGACCCCGACAGAAGCAGCACGCTTGCACATTGGCGTCGCTGAGTCAAGGCTGGACGTGGCTAACCATCCGTTCGTTTAGTACAACGCGGGAAGGCGAATTGGCATTGCAACTCCTCCTCCTCCTCCTCCTCCTCCTCTTCCCCCTCCTCCTCCTCCTCCCTCAATGGGAAACCGTGGCTGAACTTCAGAATAAGGCTGCGCTCCCACGCCTGGCTCGGAGAGCTTCTGCGCCTGCCGGCCCGATAACAACGCCCCGACCCCATCGGCCGCGTGGGTATCGGGGTCGTTTTCAGTACCGACTCCCGCACTGTGCAGATCGGTCTCGATTGCCCGAGTGTGGCTCTTGATTGGCCTGTCCAACTCCTCGAGTTGGTCGGCATTCTGGGCAGATGCCGAGCTCTCGTCAATCTGCACTTGTGAGGGATTGGGCGCAAGGGCCTCGCAGTTGGACCAGGATCCGCCACCGTGCCCAAGGCACCGAATGGAGTGTCCCCAATTACTTTCGACGGATTCCCCAGACAGTGCTTGCACTCACGGGTTATCACTTCTTACCCTTACGTATGAAGGGGCCCAGGGACACACACACATAAATACACACAAATCCCAGGACCCCCCATCGTTTTCCATATTTTCTGGGTTTTCGTCTTCCCCCCCCACTTCCCGTATTTTCCCAAAATTTTCCCGGGGATCGACGATCCATTTTTTTTTGAGGGAGAAAAAGGGAGCGCACACGATGATTCAGCATGGAACTAACAGCTGGCAGAAACCCAAGGACTTCTCCGTGGGATCTGTTCTCTTCTTAAAACACATAGGGATTTCACACATTTACACGCAGACAACGCTGGCGGCGGCCATTCGAAGTCAAGGCCGACGAACAAGCGTGCAAGGCAAAAACGAGAAAAAAAAACGCGCGTTTTTGTACGCCCGCGCAGATCCCACGGGAAATGGTGCGGGTTTTAAGCAGAGACAACACAGCTGAAACACACTGCAATGCATCCGGCCACGGCCAACGACAAACAATCGTGGATATGTTACGCGGGGGCCGAATCAGCCGCAAAACATAAACACCACATTACACTGAGTAATGCACCCTAGCCGCAGAAACGGATACGCAGCACGCGTGCAGAGGAGGGGGAGGAGTAGCAGCGGCGCGAGAGGCGGAGGAAAGGAGACGCAAATCGAGGGCCCGCTCTCCGACCCGAGGATATCGAGTCAGATAGCCAAGGGCACGGGGCACTACGAAGCGAAGCCGCGGAATCGTGACGCGCTAAAGGCTGCCAAGCGCAACCTGCGGAGTATGGAAAGCAACTGCATGCAACGGGAAAGGGAGAGGGAGGGAACAAGGAGACAGAACCCCCACGGGCAAGCCCCAAACCAGGGCGGGAGAAATTCCGTACAAAAGCCGTTTTGTACAGAATTCCCCCCCCCCTCGCCGGGGCGCGCCCGCGGGGGCCCCAGAGAAGAGGAGAGAGATGGAAAGGGAGGAAGACAAAGCAACACAGCGAGGGCGACCAGATTATTCCCGCCAAGCTTGCGAGACTATTGCAGCCAATGGCGGGTGCGCCGCGCAGGCCTCTCTACCAAACTGCCACCATGCGCCCGCCGCGTCCGCGGTGGCGCTATGCCGGGCGGCACAGGAAGCAGCGTTTGTACAATGTGCTGCCAAGGCTCGGCACGCCAGGACTGCGGCCGTGCCCTCGCCATATGCCGGCTCCAAGGCTACGAAACACGACAGCCGCGCACCAGGAGCAGGGCGGGATAAACGCAAATGCCTGTAGCTCAGTTCCGCAACGCGAGGGCATTGCGCGAAATGCTGCAGGCTGTCGGCGCCGCGTGCGCATCCGAAGGGGCAAGGGGCCCACCTCCCAAAACGGTGCGCTGTCGTCCAGCTGTCGCACAACGCTCTGTAGAGAGAAGCCCAGACCCTAGGAGGCACAGACGGCGCAAGACCGCGAAACACCTTCAGCGCCCGCGGCATTCGGCGGCTGGGGAAGAGATGGAAAGGGAGGCGAGAGAGAGAACGAGAGAGCTCACGGGTGGCGCTCACCTGGCTGGGCACCGCCAGCAGCTGACAGCACCGCCGCTGCCACTGCGACCGAGGCGCCGGCTCCGCGGGCGAGCCCTGGACCAATAGGGCGACAGAGAGGCCCTCCGCAGCAGCGCAGGACTCGAGTGTGGAGTGGGCCGCGTGCAAGCTCAGGATGAAGTTGGCCTCGCACCACCCGGGCCACATGCCAATTGGCGCGACCTTGTCTGACGCAGCGATCTTCTCTTGCAATATGCGACGCCGGCTCGCGATCCGCAAGCCGCCGCTAGCGTCGGCCTCCCAGCGGTGAACCCGGCATCTAGCCGCCAGGGCAACCGCGGCGGCGTCGGGAAGCTGCGCTGGAAACCCCAAGGAGGGCAGGTCCCGCAGGGCAGCCGGCGACGTCCAGCCGCGCGGCCCTGGAAATAGCAGTGCGCACGCCTTCTGCTCGTAGTCGTTCCAGTTCAACGGCAGACCGTCCAATTGCATGAGGAGGCAGAGCACGGGGAAAATGTAAATGCGGTACGCAAGCATGGTAAGGAACATGCCGCCCCCTATTGCTCTCCATGTTCGCGCCCGCTCGATGTACTTCTCCAGCGGTTTCGCCCAAGACAGTTCCCCTCGCTCCGGCCCCACCTCGAAGCCGAGGTACGTGGCGCGCCGGCGCACCGCGAACTCCCCCCAGGTCGGCGCGGCAGCCTGCAAGCTGGCCCGAGCCACCGTCAGAGGAACCAGTGGGAGAGGGGCCCAGACTGTCTTGCCCCGGTGCAGCCGAAGCCCCACAAGCCGCTCGTACTCCTCGAAAGCGCGCTCGAGGACGGGGGCGTCCTTGGTGCCGCGGGCGAGGGCCATCGCGAGGTCGTCAGCATGCGCCCGCTGGAGGGATTGCGGGACCAGCCGAGGAAGACGACGTAGCAAAACGTCAGAAATGACTGCGAAGAGCAGGGGGGAAAGAGGGCAGCCCTGCCTGACGCCCGCAGTCAGCTCGAATCCGTCAAACTTGGCGCCCTGTGCGATGATCTGGCACCGGTTGTTACGGTACAGCGCCTTCACTTGAGTAAGGCACCAATCTGGCCACCCACGGGCCACCAACACGTCTAAGAGGAACTCCTGGCTCACGCTCGGAAGCGCGGCCTCGAAGTCGAAAAAGATCGCCGCCGCGTCCTCGTACTCCAGCGAAAAATGCAGCATGGCCTCGTCTATGTCAACAAGGTTCGCCAACATGGGGCGGCCCTGCAAAAAACCGCGTTGAGAATCTGAAATTCCAGGGGCGACCGCAGGCTCGATCCACAGGCGGACGGCGCCAGCAATGATTCTGTTGTCTGCGTTGGTGAGATTAAGTGGGCGTGTGCTTGAGGGCGCGTAGAAGTCCAGGCCCTGCGTGGTGGCGCCAGTTGGTTTCTTGGGCAGGAACACCATGGAGCTCTCGTTGAAGTCATTCCAATCCATCTCCATGCTGTCCAGCCCCCCACGGCTCACCATGGCAAGGAAGGCGTCGTACAAGGCGCGGGCCGCGAATGTTCCCAGCTTCCGCCAAGCCCGGAATGGTATGCCATCTGGGCCTGGGGAGCTATTCTTGGTGTGAGCTATCGCCTGTTGGAAACACTCGAAAGGGACGACCTCGCCAGGGACGTGTCGCCGGTCTGCTGGGGAGAAGTGCGCAGCCTCGTCCGCGATCCATTCCTGCCGCAACCTCTGGTCGGTGTCCTGGCGGCGGAAAGCTCCTGCCCAATGGTCCCGCAGGGCTTTGGCGACATGGGGGGGATCTGTGCTCACGTGGCCCGCGTGGTCGCGGACGGCGTAGTGGGATCACCCTCGGCCAGGGGCGAGACGGGCAAGTAGTCGGTGATTTCGTTGACGTCGTCGTGCTGCTTGGTCGGGCGTGAGGTCGTGGAGGTCATCGTGGAGCTGGCTGAGCTCGTCGATAGCGTGCGAGCGAGCCAATTCCACAGCGTGTTGTCGCACCAATCGCAAGCGGCGGCCATGGTCGAGGAAGAAGTCGTAGGGGTTGTCCACAAGGTCCTTGAGGACAGGATAGCGCAGGATGCACTGGCTGATCCCCGTCGCGGAGCCGCGCTCCGACGACCGGAGGAACTGTGTCTTTGTGTCTGTGTTTTTTCCCCTCCTGAACGTACTTGGATGGGTCTGCCGAAATTTCGCCTGATGGGCGACTGTGGGCGCCTGGTGGAACCCTGGCGCTGCTTGCGCTACACTTGCGTGAGTTACATCGCTCACATCACTTTGCTTACACCTCACAGCTTATGCCGCATAGCTTGCACCGCGCAGCCTGCAGTGTGGGCGCGGCCGCAAGAAACCCTCGCAAGAAACCCAATCCTGAGAATCCGTGCGCGAGGTGCACCTGAGGGTAAACCTGGAGCACCCTGAACGCAGCAGCTCCTTCAACGGCTGCGGGAAGTCATCACGCAGCGCGAGGAGAGAAGAAACCCAGGGTACCCTGACGAAACTCAGATGGTTTCTTGATGTGCGCCCCCACTGTAGCTTACACCACATGGCTCGCACCTCATTGCGTTTACTAAATACCTTGCAGCACAAACGGATTGCACCCCATTGCTTGCAAGCAGCGCGCACAACTTGCAACACAGAACTTACGCACCCGGAGTGCGAGAACTCACTAATTATTTCGGGTCCATGCCGGCAAGCATTGAATATTGTAAGTGCCCTTTGCGGGTCCCAGACCCCCGATTTCAAGGTTGTAGTGTGCGATCTTGGGACGGTCGGGTGACTTTCCTGAAGCATCGGGACCGTGGTTCGGAACCCAAGCTCCCCACATGGGTTTACGATTCTCTCATGGGACCGTCCTGGCGCTCTCTTGGGGGCCTCTGAGGCCGTCTTGAACACCTGGGGGGGATCTGGCCCAAGACGCCCAAATAGTGCTTCCGTTCTCGCGCCGAAGCAACCCCCAACGGGGGCTGGCCTGCTCCGCCCTCCACCGCCCACCCCATGTCCCAAACTTGTGGCAGGGTCATCAGCTCGACGTGTTCACTGTCGTCGTGGTCGTCGTCGTGGTCGTCATCGTCCTCCTGGGTCGGCGGCACTGGCCGCAAGGCCTTCACAACACTGTTTCCACCCTCGCGCCGAAGCAACCGCCCCCAACGGGGTCTGGCGCCTCCTTGTCCTGGGTGGACTCGGCCATGAACTTCTCGAAGGCGGACACGGCCTGCCGGTGGCCAGGGGGGCGTCCACTGCACAAGGTCGCCACGACACCTCCTCCTCCTCCTCCTCCTCCTCCTCCTCCCTCCTCTGTTTGGGCGTCGCTTGATGGGGGGGGGAAAGCGATTGCCCGTCGGTCGGAAGAAGTGGGTAGAACCATGAAGTAGGAAGGCGTTGGAAGCAGTTTGGGCTTCCGCCCGCCCTCTGGAGAAGAGGGAAGAGGGAATACCGCTCGACCATTGAAGTAGGAAGGCGCCTAAAATAGATTGGGATCTGGGAATCCAAAAAGACCAACTTTCAACGACCGGCTAGTTTTTGGGGGGAGAAGTGTGCACTTTTCGGGCCCCAAAGGGCTCCTTTTGGGCCCTAAAGGGCCCCTCTACGCGCCCTAAAGGGCCGCTTTTCTGCAGCCCTTGCTGCCCCCCCCCGTTATCGCGCCCCGGTTCATCGACGCACAATCTTTTTCGTTGTCGCTTCTTCGGGCAACTCAAGCGCGCCCCTTTCCACAACCCGCCGCGGGACTGAAGCGGCCGCCGCGAGCGCGCCCGCCGCCGCCGCCGTCCGCCGCCGCCCGGAGGGCTGGAAAGGAGGACGCGCTGCTGCCGATGCCGCGCGCGGGTCGGAGGAGGGAAGGGGGCATGTTAAACTGGAAGGGGGCATGTTAAACTGGCCATCGCTCGGACGTCCATTCCCTGTGTTTTTTCTGTTTCGTGCGTGTTTTTTTCGCCAAATGATCAAGGATGTTCCTAGATGGTCCTCGCCGAAGGAAAAATGCACACGTCCGAGCGATGCCAAGTAAAGAGCTCTGCCGTCGTGCCAATGGGCACTGGCGGCGGCCCGAACTACTCGCATGAATCGGTCGTGCCCTCCTCCTCCCTCCTCCTCACTCCCTCCCTCCTCCTTGCCCCTCGCCTGTGACCCGCCATCCCTGTACAGGCGAGAACCGAAGATGCTAGCCATCTTGCTACCACACGACAAGGCTGAGGAAGGAACGGAGGTGGCTTTCCTGGCCACGGCGAGCCTCGGCCACGGATCTGCTGCCCGACCTGGATCTGAGGAGCAGCCCGCAGACTGGAGAGCCCCTCCCGAACCCGAAGTGGTCCGCATTCCGGCGTCCCGGCTGCATGGGCGAGCGCTGAAACTGCTAGGATGCTGCCACTGCCGCCCTCGACCGCGGGAGCTCGTGCGGAACCGGGGCATCCGGCAGGAAGAGGCACAAGTAAGCGGGACCCCGTGGGCAGGAGCCCGTGCGGGAGCCAGCATGCCACAAGAACGGCAGCAACCAAACAGCGCAGCCCCACGGCGCAGACCTTGTGCGGCAACCGGCGAACCAAGCAGGCAAGAGCAGCTATCCGCCGGATCCCATGGGCGGGCCCCCGTGCGGCGGCCACGACATCGAAGAGGCCACGCCAGCTCAAAGCGAGGCGGCGACCAAACTGTATCCAGCAAAGGCCGGGGCGCCCCCCTCCCCCCCCCAGGCGGGGCCCCTGTGGCAGGCGGGAGGGAGTCCACGCAGATCATGACCGCTCTGCGCAGAAGACGCACGACTCACTTGCCTAAGAGGGACAACAAGCGGAAAGCATAAACAGCAACTTTTGACGGTCCGCGTGGATTCCTTGGATCTGAGCTGGGCCCCCCTCCCTGGCGCGCGGAGCGCGCCAAGGGTGGCGCCAGAGGAGCCGCCATGGGGTCCCAACGCGGATCCAAGAAATCCGCGCGGAACGCCACAAGTTTATGCGTATGCCGTTATCAGCTGTTCGATTGCCAGCGGCCGCGCAAGAGGGGTTGGCGGCGTGCACAAGTGCGTATGGGGGGAAGGGGGGAGGGCCTCTTAGAAGGAGGCTGCTTCTTAGAAGGCGTGGGCCTTACAGTCGGCCTTGATTGGACAGGACACGCGAGAGGACACAAGACCCTTCCGAGGGCCACATCGCCATAGGAGTGTAATAAGGCACGTGTCGCGAGGCACAAGACACACAAATTCCCTTGAGCTGGCAGGGTCGGCCAACTAATGAGGGCCGACTGGTCCTCTACAGACAAGGCCCGCGCCTTCTAAAAAACAGGGGTACTTCTAAGAAGCCTTCCCGCCCCCCTTGACCCACCTCGTCTGCGCGTGGCCGAAGGGGGGCGGGCGATGGGGGGAACGCGCAGGAGCCACCTGCAGACGGCGCGTAAGAGGGGATGATGATGATGATGATGATGCTGATGATGATGATGATGATGATGATGATGAAGATGAACATGATGATGATGATGAGGAGGAGGAGGGGAGGAGGAGGGAGGAGGAGGAGGAGGAGGAAGAGGAGGAGGAGGAGGAGGAGGAGGAGGAGGAGGAGGAGGAGGAGGAGGAGGAAGAGGAGGAGGAGGAGGAGGGAGGAGGAGGAGGAGGAGGAGGAGGAGGAGGAGGAGGAGGAGGAGGAGGAGGAGGAGGAGGAGGAGGAGGAGGAGGAGGAGGAGGAGGAGGAGGAGGAGGAGGGAGGAGGGAGGAGGAGGAGGAGGAGGAGGAGGAGGAGGAGGAGGAGGCGGAGGAGGAGGAGGAGAGGAGGAGGAGGGAGGAGGAGGAGGAGGAGGAGGAGGAGGAGGAGGAGGAGGAGGAGGAGGGAGGAGGAGGAGGAGGAGGAGGAGGAGGAGGAGGAGGAGGAGGAGGAGGAGGAGGAGGAGGAGGAGGAGGAGGAGGAGGAGGAGGAGGAGGAAGAGGAAGAGGGGTAGACATCAAATGCGCGCTCTCTCCGCCTGGGGCCCTGGCGGCGCTCCTTCGCCCCCAGGCGGCGCTTGGGCCCCCGCCGCGGCACGACGAAGAGGGGATCGGGGAGATCGATCAGGCTGTCCAGGGCGCCCGTGGGCCCGGTTCCGGCGATCGCTGGGCCGATGCGATGCGAACCTCCTCGCCGTCTGGAGTGGCGAGGCCACGTGCACGCCGACCCGCAGGCACGGCGGCGCGTGCGTTTGCCCGTTCGGTTGCGGGCACACCCAGGCGTCGGCTCGGCATTTCTGGGCCGAGTGCCCGCGTTGTGCTGGACGTCGGCCCGAACTCGGGGAGACTCTGCGAGTCGCGCCGGGGCCCAACCCCGCGTCACGGCGAAAACGGGGTGGATCACTAATGCTGCCGGGGGCTCGATTCAGTGTCGGGCCCGGCTGCAGGCGATGCGGCCCGCCTGGGTCCTCCCCCCCTTCCCTCCCCTTCCCCTCCGGCGGGCGGCGGCCTGGCGGGCGGCGGGACGGACTTCGACAACGCTGAAGACCTCCCTCCCCCTCCTGGTGGTGGTGGTTCCCTGGGTGCTGACAGCCGATCTAATTAGCTCCGGTCCAGTCCTGTGGTCCACTGGCCCTTTTCCCGCTTCGCGCCCGGGCCTCCTGCGGCCCGGGGGCTTTGAACAGCGCTACGCGCTGATTTTTTAAAAAGCAGCTAGGACAAAGGCACCCTGCTGCTTAGCATGTCTCAGGAAAAGGAGGGGGAGGAAAAGGAGGCGGCGGCTCGGTGAAGAATTGCGCAGGCCTCTCGGGAACATTCGCTGCCGACGGGCCGTGCTCGCTGTTCGAAACCGAGCGCAGGCCTCCCGCTCGTGCGGGCCACGAGGTGCCTGGCAGGGCTGAGCAGGGGAGCGCAGCCGCAATCCCCGGCCGGAGGCTTCCCGATCTTTCACTGCTTGATGTGCGCCCCGCCCAACAGCAGGTGGCCACGCGTAAAGATAGGACTGTGGGGTCCCAAAACCGTGTGGTGGCAGACCTGGCGGTGATCTCGAAATCCGCAGAGATCTCACCGCAGGGTCCGTCACCGCACGGTCGGGACCCTGGAGGCCCCAGCCGCCCGAACCGTCTTCGGAAAACGACCCGAGTCCCAACGCCGTGCGGTGACCCCGAACCCCCACCGACCCACCACGCGGTGTGTCGGGGATGGGCAGAACTCCCTTTCGTAAAGCGTGGTTTAGCGAAAACAGCCTCGGGTCCAAACCTGGCGGGCGCAAACCTAGAAAATGACGGCCGCGGCGCCGTCACGAGAACCGAAAACAGACAAATCACTAATCGACGCGTCAGGGTGGGCGTTCTGTCCTCCCCCGAAGGACACGTCGACCTGGAATCGGCGATACATCGCCGATAAATCGGCGATCGGCCACCCAATGGCGAATGCGTGCGCTCTTGGGCGGGGTGGGGCTCTCAGACTCCTATCGGTGATCCGTGGCGATTAGGGGTCGATGCGTCCCCCCTTGTGCCTGTATCCCCCTATTTCGTTTGGGGGGTCACCACCCCGTTAGGGGCCCCGAAGAACAGAACAGCCTCCGGGAAGGCCGCAGTGGGGGCTCCCGGGCAGGCAGCCCCTCTCGCGGCTTCGCCCTTTCTGCGCACCGACCCGAGCTCGGTGCAAGCGCCGTCTGGGGAGGGGGAGGAAGAGGGGGGGAATGCTGGATAGTGCTGCTACAGAGAAGGTCGAAGCGTTGCTGCGCCTTCCCGCGGGTTAAACTATTCGTAAGTTAGCGTCGCCGACGGGGGAGGGTCTTCAGCGAGCGGCCCCCGCTCCCGTCCGTCCCCCCCCAAATCCTTGGCGGAACTGCCGACAACAGGCGTGGGGGGTCCACTTCCCCTCCGACGGGGGGAATGGGCCACTTCATCCCCGCTTTCGGGGTGACGCCTCTGCGGAGACTCTTCAACGCGGTTCTACCCGAAGGGGTGCACGCGCGAGGGCACTCGCTAACCAATTTACATAATCTACCGTTGCCTCCCACGACGGTCGCATATCGGGCGCGTCCCCAACGCCGCGCCAAGCCGTGCTGAATGCCGATTTGCCGCCAACTCTGAAGGCGCTAATCAAGGTGGGGGCGTACGCGTGGTGGCCTTGCTCGCTTTGGCCGCTCGAGGCTTCATCCCCGCGGCGCAAACCTGCTGGCCACCAGTCGATCAGAGGAAAACTCCCAGGGGTCTGGCGGCGCTTAGTGCAGGACCACTGGCCATGACTCAAACCACAAAGGCGATGGCCCGAGCGGGCCTCGAGCTCCTGGACTCTCGTAGGTCCCG